CCCCAAAACCCCAAAACCCCAAAACCCCTAACTTATTTTGATAGATTGAACTAAGCAAACAAATATTCAATTGATTCAAAATCTTCTGAGTCCCAAGCATCAAAAACTTTGTGGGGATTTGCTTCACAGTACCTTGATGTAACTTGGTTTGCTTCAACTCCATTAGCCTTAAGATAATCTCTATAACTGACAAGTTCTTCAACGATGTCTCCCCATTTGAAGGGTTTTTCGACCTTCCCAGACCAGAATATACTTGAAATAACTCCGAGTCTTGGCCAGATTTTATTGAAGACATTATGGGCAGTGTTAAGCTCGCTCCACATTGCTCCCTCTCCTCCAAGGAGTTGGTCACTGTCTGGGGAATAATAATCTGTTGGCTCAAACATCTTAATCCTAGCCCATGTCTGGTAAGGATTACAAAGATCAACTCCATATCTGTTTCCAAGACCACAATCGAAATAAAATAGCTCATGTACAGATAGTATATGTTGATGATCTGGATATGTCTCTTGGAATTTAGGAATATATTGAGAGTCTCCCCAGTACTGAAGTACTGATCCTTCATCCCATTTCAAGTCCCAGTTGTTCTGGTAGACCCAATGAGCAGTTCTAACACCAGACTCCTTTGCAAGGGTGCCGACTTTTTGCTGGAAGTAGGCAAAAAGTTCATTTCCATTAGCAAATTCATTTTCTTGCATCCATTGTCCAATTTTTTCGTCAAGTACCCAGCATGCGTTTGTGTTGACTTCGTCTCCTCCAAGATGGACGAAATCAGATGAGGAGAAAATCTTTCTTAAGTCATTAATAACTTTGTCTACAAAATCGTAAGTTTCTTCAAGGGTTGGATTTAAAACTCCTCCTGAAGGTCCTCCTTTAATTCTAGTACCATCAGGCATCTGCCATTTAGAAATTCTGTTAAGACACGTCATCAGATGGCTGAAGGATGGGTCATCTCCAATTGATCGAGTGTGGCCTGGAATATCGAACTCAGGGATAACTTTGACTCCATTCTGGTTTGCATAGCTTATTATTTCATGAATATCCTTCACAGTGTAAACTTCTTCAGGAGAAAGAGCAGTATGCTTTACCATTCCTGGGAAAGAGGGAAGATCTATTGGGAAACTATCGTCATCAGTCAGATGTAGATGAAGTACATTCACTTTTGACATCCTCATACCGTTGATAATAGTCTTAAGGGTCTCCATTGGATAATAATTTCTTGATATATCAAGAAGCAGCCCGATGTAACCGTATCTTGGCTCATCAGAGATTTCCAAAGGCACATGAGGAATTACAGTCTTTCCATTAGAGTGATCAAGAATTTGGGCAAGTGAGTCCATAGCTCTTAGAACACCAACTTGGTACTGAGCTTCGATATGAATATTACCATTAGACATCACTTCTAGCTTATAGCTTTGGTCTTTAGGATTAAATCCCGCAGGCATCATCACAAAAGAATTTTTTACCTCCAAAAGTAAGTTATTGGAGCAAGAAGATCCGAACCCACTGTTCTGGTTCTTGAAGAAAATACTATCATAGATTTGGGTCAAGTTATGCAAGAATCCATAGTCATTTCCGATAGAAGAAATATGAAGGCAGTCCTTAATTTCAACCGTCTGGCTTCCAAAGCTCATTTCCTTGGGATTTGGTGTAATCAATGGCCTTGAGCTCTCTTTTGCCCTCATAGTGCTTAAGAACAAGAGCGTGATAAACAAAGTACCCCACACGAAGCTTTTCCTAAAATTGTTCATTTATTTATATAAAAGGCTAATTCTATAATATGATTTAAAAAGGGGTTTTGGGGTTTTGGGGTTTTGGGGTTTTGGGG